CACAGCATCTGTCCCAGCACTTGATCCTTTTTCAGCCTCCACCCCATTCTTCCACAGCATCTTTTACTCTGGTGCCCTCTACATCACCCCGTAAGCTCCAGGAAAGGAGAGAGAACTCAGCCTTTTATTGTAGGTCCCAGTAAGCACACACCCTAGTGTCACCATCATGGGTTACTCAGCAGGGAAGAACGAAGCCTTCTTAGGAATGTCCATTCAGGACTCCAGCCTCCATCTGACACAGAGATCTAAGAACACAACTGTACAAGACTGGGGGCACATGGGTTCTATTACTTCTGGAAGATTCTTCGGGCATCTGGGGAACAGGCATTACAGATCCTCTTAAGGTTGAAAAAAATGGGGCTTTAAATACAATTTTCTCTCAACTGTAAGAGAACCAATATTCAGATGTTCTTCGTGATCACTTGGCTTTCCCTGATTCTGTCCAGTTTGATGGGCCAGGGGGACTCTCAGTCAGGGAAAAAGGAAGAGAGAAGAGAAATATGCAGAGATTATACTTTCTAGCTATACTTCAAATAGCTGCAGTGTCTCAATCAAACTAGAACATGGTTTCTGGGACAAACTTTAGAACTGCCAGTCAAGACTTGAAAAACTGGGTTACACCAGTGTCATCATCTTAATTATCAAAACAAGTATTATTGATGGCCCAACACAAATTAGAGCTTCTGAGGAGTTTCTAATCTAATTTGGGCAAGAGGAAAGACACGAGAAAATAAAGAAGAAAAGCAAAGGGAAGAGAAAGAGAAGCAATATACAAAACTATCTGGAGCTTGGCAAACAGGATTCATGGACACTTGAGCTAGATATTAGACTTGAACAAGAAGGAACGATTCGAGCATGGGGGCTGGCAGAGGGAAAGACACAGATGGAGGATAGCGTGTGCCATGTCATGGCTAATGGACAGGCTGGTTTGGCTGAAAGGAAGAAGAGTGACATGTGACCGGCTAGAGAGATAACAGCTTAGGCAGTGTAGAAGCCTCTGGCTAACACTTGAGATTTGTTCTGTGGGTAGTAGAAGGCTGTATAGGAAAAACTTTAGTGTAGTGGGATGGGGTGGAAATGAAGCCTGGCAGGGAGACCAGTGAGAAGGGGATGGGATTTGGAGTGAGATAGAGATGATTCTGGGCAGAACCCAAATGAGGGGGAAGGTAGAGCAACCGAGGCAAGAGATTTATGCAGGAAAAATAGGCAGCACTTGGTGACTGGGGAGATATGAGAAAAAGGAAAGAGAAAAGAAAAGTGGATAGCCCAGGATCATTCCCAGGTTTCCAACTCCAGCCACTCAGAGGATGACCACACATGAATTTTTTTCTTCCTCTTTCTCAACAAGATTTCTCCTGTTGTTCTGTTTCTGGCTGCCCTTGGAATTAAGGAGAATGGTCTTTGGGAAAATGGTCCTCTTACCACATCCTAGCTGGTCCAAGCAGTAATAACAGGATTCTGATCCCTCTTGTGTAAAGGCAGCCTGAGGATGTGTGACATGTACAAGATGGTACAATGGAACAGAGGCAGATTGGAGTTAGGACCTCACAGATCTAGTTGATGGTTCATGAAAGAATTCTATCCACTAGGGCCCAAGAGAACCACCACTATTATTGAGTGGACCCACATCTCTTCATAGATAAGGAGATTGAGGCCTTTGAATGAAGGGTGACTTCCCACCAGTGATCAGCAAGCTAGGGTTAGAACCTGGCTTGTGGAGCTTTAATACTTCAGTGTTCCGTGCATTTCTACTAGTTGCTCATTGTCATATCTCGGGGAGGGGGTGTGCACACATGTGCTTGCCTGAGAAACCTGACATTTTATTGAGGTGACATTTTCTCTATGAATTTACCATGAAGCCTGCTTCCTCAGACTCCTAGAGAGTAGCAATAATAATTCGAGATTGGTTTTGGTTTAAAATCCTAAGTTTATTTGTGACTTATTTGATTAGTTCGTTTATCACCCCATCTCCAGCCCAGCCATTTCAGGATTTATTTTGGGCTGAGTTGTCTTGGATGAGCTCTGAGATCTGTCACTTTTCCCAGCCATATCTCTGTATTACCCTGCCAAGACAAGGAACAGATCTGACACCTTTTTCGTTTGAAGCAAACTTATTAAAATTCATAATTTTCAAGCTAATTGGGAAGAAAGAGGAATGAAAGTAAGAAAAAAATAAGAAGTACATAATATTGAGTGCTTAATGAATATTTAAGGGAAAGAGGAAAAGAGGAAGAAAGGAGAGACAGAACACTGATGGGAAATGGGAGAATGGCCTTGACTAGAAAAAGATGTTTTCCGTTAATGAAGAGCAGAGAGGAACAGCATTCTACCTACCCACAAGGGTGGTTCTTGGGAATTCACCCTCCTCCCCATTCGGCTGGTTCCCAGGGAGCACCTGTATGAGATAAGCTCTTCAGGCCCTATATGCTATGGCTAATTGAACACTACGTTTGCCCTCAAAACCCTTATGCTATGCCAATCTCAGAAGCCACTAGATACCAGATCAATCATCCCAGTAAAAAAATTAAAAAAAAAAAAAAGTTAGCAAAATAGCAGCGCCTCTTCCTGTGTCCCAAAGGAAACACAATCTACCCCAGGCATTAATTTTTCTTATCCATGAATCTTTTCTCACTCTGAAGGAGGCTGCCTGGAAGTGTCCCCATCCCTCTCCAGAGCCTGCACTGCTCAGAGCTGTCATTCAGAGACACTTTGTCATCTGCAAACCCCTCCAGAGGCCCGGGATGGCATAAGCCACGACATCTGGGTTTCTCCATTCTCTGGTGTAGGTTGAACAAGTAGATGATTTCCAAAGAGGTTACATTGGCATATGGAGCGGTACTCAGGATAAGAAGTCTGTTTGTTTGGTATTCTAGGAAATCAACAAGAGGAAATGTATTTTAGCTCAGAAAGAAAAAATAACCTGCCCAGTGATGAATAACTGCCCAACAGGCAGCTAAGGAAGAGACTGGCTGGGCTGCCAAGGGAGATGGTACCTGTGGTGGTGGGGATGGCTGGGAGGCCATGAGCCATTGTGAATGCTACGATCACCTCAAGCAAACAGATGGGTCACTCTATCACTGACCATGAGTGTCCCTTGATCAGCTGAAGGCATGTGTACAGCCTGTCACATTCTAATTCTGAAAGGCAACAGAGGTAAACCAACTATGTCTGAATTTCTGGAAAGTGTGTGTGTGTGTGTGTGTGTGTGTGTGTGTGTACAGTCTTGGGTGTATGTTTTGTGTGTGTACATTATCTTCACTGGGCACTCTCCATTGACACCACTGCTTCTATTGCTAAAATACCTTGGAATCTCTGTGCTGCCTTATGAGAAGTTGCTGATTTTTTTTAGTTTTTCTGTTCTGTCTCCCAATCTCCTTTACCAGACTAATTTGCCATTCCCTACTGGGAAGACATCTAATACCTGTGCTGAGCAGATTTAGACTGAGAGAAGCCCACAAAAACATGTCATCCATGTCGTGTCAGCACATTTATGAAAATACAAATAAACTGTAAGATGGCAACATGTCCACTAGTATACTTCATGCCAAGATCATTGGATGAACCATACTAGGCTGGAGCTGACCTGCTCCTTCTCTAGCATTACGTAAAAGTCCAAGCTAGGACATACCACATGATGTCATAACATAACAAAGACCCAGAGACAGTCAGACCCTCATTTTGCTGTAACCCTAACTCTGGTAGCTCATAGTACATTGCCCACAGGAAGTCGTATTATGGGATCTTCTAGAAGGAAGTTCCGTCTTGAAATAATCCAGACTCAATGAGATCAAAATCCCTCTATAGGGGCAGGGGATATAGCTCAGTAGTAGAGCATTTGCCTAACATGTGTCAGGCTCTGGGTGAGATTCCAAGCACCACCAAAACCAAACAGCCAAACAAACAAACCCAAGTCATCTAAAGATATTGATTCCTGGACCCTAAGAAACCCAGAAGCAGATTCCAACATTCAGGGAATGATTAGATAAACAATGCTTGCCCAAGGAACTGAAACATATTTCAAAGAAGAGCTTGAGATCTCATTCACCTTCCCTGGATAGCTGCCTTCTGAGATGCCCACCTCATTTGCCTGGCTTCATAGCAAGAGAAACTGTCTTTAGATACAGCCCATCTCCTGGAAAAGGGACATCAGTTTTTTTTTAAGGTAAGCCAAAGGGTCTGGGTTCAGCTAGACAAGTTTCTGAATGTCTAGATGCCCAGAGTATTTCCAATTCAAAGTATCATTTCATAAAGAGGCTTATGTTTTAAAATGTCTGTCTGTAAAATATACTTTCATGACATTTTTTTAACTCTTCCTGTTTTCATTTGGTATGGATCTAATGAATTTGAATTTTTAAAGCCATTGAGGTAGAAGACATATATAACATTAATACCCAGGCATTAGATCGTTAATTTCTAGGATGCTGGTATTTTTTTAATGGGGCAAACTGTAGAAGGCATAAAGTCATAGAATTATAATCAGAATAAAAATCTAAACATCCATTGATTTTACTACTAGCAAATTGAAGACATCAAAAGGTGAAGTGATTTGTTCAGAGCCATATGGTGACAAAGGTAGGAACTGAAATCCACCAGCCTGATGACAACCCTAGGTTTCTTTTCACCTCGACAGACAGTGGCTTCCTCCAAAATATCAGCTGTCTACCATTTTGACCATCAAAAGTTAATGTTTTTTAATCACTTTAAATCCCCAGAACTAAATCCATTGATTGTACAATAGATTGGATGAAAGGCAAAGGAGGAATCAAAAAGCAGTAAAAAAAAAAAAATGAATGGGAAAAGAGTGCCATTTAATTATTTGCAATTTAAAGAATTATTCGGAACCTTAGGGGTTAAGAGACGAGTATGCTCCGTCTTGGAGTTTTGCCTTCCATGACTACACCAGGTATATTTAAACTGGAAAATGGGAAGAAGAGGAGTTGCTTCACTCAGAGTCAACAATATTGTACCAGCCAATCCTACCATTTCTGCAGTTTCCTCGTGCACCTGCCTGGAGTCACAAGGGTGTTTCCTGTCCAACCTGAGCGTCTCCTTCAAGCCACCTCAGCCCCTCAAAATCTTTCCTTCTGGGCCTTTCCCAGAAATAAATTCCCGCAAGAAAGTATAAAAGACCAGCTCCTCAGAGCACAGCAACTCTCCTGGCTGCCACAGGAGGCCAAGGCACTGGCAGGTAAGACCTGTTCACATTAATCTTTCCTGATTTCTGCAAAGCTGCTGGTGAAATTTCCTAAAGACTTTTCAGAAAGCTTAGTGCAGAATTTAGATCTGTCTTCCTGGGGGTTTTGTGTGTGTGCGCCAGATTTGGCTATCGTCCCTGTTTGGTGTGAGAGAAAATGTGTCTAAATCTACAGAGCAAGGAAGTTTTTCTGCTCCTGAAAACTAAGTCATAGAATCATAAACTCTCAGGGCTAGAAGGTACCGTATACCTCCTAGAACCCATCCTGCTTAGGAACTGAGGCTTAAGATTGGTATGCAGGATCACCCAGAAAGTTGGGGGGATAGTAACAGAATGGTGGTCCATGTGGTGTTCTTGAGATAAGTGTAAAATAGTATGACCCTTCGCTATAGTGAAAATTCCGCAATGTTTTAAGGGGCTCCCTAAACCAGGGCTTGCAGACCTTCATATCTTCTACAGCATCTCTTGCCTGCAATCTGCAGCAGATCTGAACATTTAATTATCCCTGAATAGTCCCTAGTGCCTTAAATGACCTTAAATGATCAGGTGCAGGACCTGTGGCAGTGCTAGTTGGGATTCACTTTTGGAGACTGGATGATTAAGCCATATTGTTTTTTATGCAATCAGATGCATGTAACCAGCACTTTCAGCAGAAGTAGAAGATTATTTCTGCTCTACAGGGCTTGATGAGAGCCATTGATCTATAGAAGGAAAACAAATTCAAACTCAAATTCAGTTTCTTCTACTATACTCTGACAACATGTTTCTGGCACCAGGTGTGTGTGAGTTTTCTCCACTGACCAAGCAGACAGTGCAGTAGTAGTGGACATCAGCTGTATACCCTTTGATCCCATTCATATCTGACACTGTATACCTGGAGATAGCATCAGATCTCACAGGTTGAAAGCTCAGCCCCAGGACCGCACCCCTAGCTGCTCCATGTGCCAACAACAAGCCTATAAATCAGTTCCCACAGCACCTTCTCCAGGTTTGATTAATTTGCTAAAATTGTTCACAAAACTCAGGGAAACAATCATTTATGTTTAACCAATTTATGATAAAATCAGTTCCCACAGCACCTTCTTCAGGTTTGATTAATTTGCTAAAGTTGTTCACAAAACTCAGGGAAACAATCATTTATGTTTAACCAATTTATGATAAAATATATTGGACAGGATACAGATGAAGAGGTGCAATAGGGCAAGAAATAAGGAAAGAAACATGGAATTTCCATGCCCTCTCAGGGCAAACTACCTTCCAGAAACCTCCATAGGTTCAACTACTAGAAACTTTCTGAATTCTGTCCTTTTGGGTTTTTTTTTTTAATGGATATTTATTAGATAAGCATATCAGAAGCCCAGACAACCATATAGATCTAATGCTGATAGGCTGAGTGGGTAAACCCAGCAAGCCTGTCCAGATTCTTCTTGACCTCTCTGGGCAGCATTCCACCCTCCCAAACATGGGGCAGGACCCCTTCTGACATGGGACTGTTATCTATCAGACAAAGCAGGTTGGAGAATTTTATTATCACAAACTCTAAGACAAAAAAGGCAGAAGATCAGAGCTTCTGTGACTTGCCTTGGGGGAAAAAAAAGTTCTAGTATGTTCTCATATGTTCTAATAAGTTCTATATGGCCTAACCTAGGAAGGGCATTTTGAGCCAGGAAGTATGGATGAAAACCAAAAAGCATGCATCATATCACAGCTATCTCCTCTTCAGCCTCCTCTTGATTCTGGAGCTGCTCAAAGGATCAAATAGAGTGTTTTGCGGGGAAAGGGCAAGTTGGTATTTTTTGGCTTTCCTGTTGCTCATTTACCACCTTCAACAGAGTTATAACCCTTCATGAAAAAGAATCCCACCAGTTCCTTCCCTTCTCGGGCCTTCCTCCAGTCTTTTTGGTGAATGCTCAGTAGTGTGGGAGCCTAACTCTCAAAAGGCATGGTTCTCAGAGTGTGTTCTACAGACCAGCAGCTTCCCCTGGGAGCTTGCTGATGTGCATTTACCAAGATCCCCAGGTGATTCTGAGGTACACTAGGGTGTGATAAGCCTGCTAAGAGAACACACCACTGTCTCCCTTGGTAATGTCCAGATGGAAGACTTCTCTGCTCTGTCATTCATTCAGCACCAACCTGGCCCCTATTATGTACCCACACTATGCTTAGGCACTGGAAAAGGAAACACACATGATATTGCCCTAAGGAGCTATGGGCTGATAGGGGCACAGGCATGAAAACAGTAGTGTAAGAGAAAGTACCAGGAGGTGCAGAAACAAGTATGACCTTGTTTGGAGAATTTGGTAAACTTCACAGAGGCATTTGGTGTGGGTTTTAAAGAATGATCAGAGTTTATGAGGCATGGAGGACATTGAATAAGTCAAGTCATGGGATTGTGGACCAACTTGACGTTTGAGGGGCAGAGACTGGGGCACTAGAAAGGCTGCGGGCTTTGGCAAAAACCCAGGGACTTGAGAAAAGCTTTCTGCCTTGACTGTGAGGATAAGAATGTGATCCAAACATCACAGAAGCCTCTTGTTGGCCTTGTATACTCTGAAACCCTGTGGCCCCTGCCATTTGCCCTGCTTGGTTTTGGCTGCTGACAGTGTCTTTCCATAATTTTTCCTGCATACCCATCTTTCAGTGGCATGATCCCAAATTGCCTGGTTCTGTTTTCTGTTCCACACCCTTCCTTCATACCAATCAGGAACATGGCCAAAACACAGAAAATTATTCAGTTTTGACCTCGAATTCCTCCCTCCCTAATTTTCCAGTGAGGAAAGCATGAAAAATGTCTCAAAGAAAAGGAGTGGAGAAACAAGTATCTCAATTTTGTTTCCTGCTCAGATTTCTCAAATTTCATCTTTCAACTGTGATTATTTTTTTTCTTCCTCAGTCTCTGATGAGGCCATTTTTCATAGTTTGATGTTTTAATCATAATTCGTGTCCTTTAGTCACTCAAAGAGTAATATAACAAATGCTCATGTGACCATCAGTCCTTGTTCAGTGATATGGTGGTTGCCAGAGACTGGAGTGGGGACAGATGGGGAGTTGGTTTCAATGAGTAGAGTTTCAGTTTTGCAGAATGAAAAGGTTCTAGCCACGTGCAAGGATGCACACCTGTAATCCCAGCTACTCTGGAATGCTGAGGCAGGAGGATTGCAAGTTCAAGGTTAGCCAGGACAACTTAGCAAAACTGTCTCAAATTAAAATTGTAAAAGGCTGGGATGAAGCTCAGTGGTAGAACACTTACCTAGCAAGCATGAGGCATCGGGTTCAATCCAGTATCATAATAAGTAAGTAAGTAAATAAATAAATATTCTAGAGCTCTGAACTGTCCTGAGTGGGTAAGATAGTAAATTTTATGCTGTGTGATTCTTTTTAAATAATTTAATGTCAGAAATATTTTTTAAATTTTTAATTGTAGATGGACACAATACCCTTTATTTTATTTATTTATTTTTATGTGGTGCTGAGGATGGAACCCAGTGTCTCACATGTGCTAGACAAGTGCTCTGCCACTGAGCCACAACCACAGCCCTGCTGTGTGGTGTGTGTGTGTGTGTTTTAATCATACCTTTTTTCTTCTGAAAGCCAACCAAACCTTTTACTTCCAAACCACCATCTTTGTTTGCCTAAAAGGGCAGATTTCTGTTGACTCAGCGAACCCTCAAGTGGTCCTCCCACCCACAAAGAAAGGGAAACAGGGAGAGAAGGTCACAGAGTCAGCTTTTCCAACTCAGGGCCATACACATCTAAAGACAAGAGCCCACTGAGGGGTTGGTTGGAGAATTCACCCTGGGGGGTGGGGGGAGTTCTTGGCCAGAGAGGTATTTTCTCCTATCTTGCCTTCTTTCTAAAGTTTGTTTACAAAAAAATATATTCAACAAATAAAGATCACTCAGGGGTTGGGGAGACAAGGGCAGAGGGGAAGATTGAGGTATGTGAAGGAGGCCAAAATTACATGGTCCAGGGTCATGGTTCTCCTTCTCTGGTCCAGGCTGGCCCACAGGCAGGCGCTTTGGGGAGTGTCTGGGAGGTGGGCTGGGCTGCTCTGAGGCAAAGCTTCAGAACTGCAGGGAGCTTTGCACAGATATGGAGGGGGTGGCCCATCTGAGGTTGTTCTCCTGGACAGTTTCTGGAGTCCAACCAGGGAACACCATGATGAAGAGAAAAGCCAGACTCTCTTGTGAAGGCTGAGGATCCTGTCAAGAGCCTGGTATATTGACACCATATCCCATCTGCACACCATGGCACCCTCCACCCCAGGGTGCAGCCAGAATCTCCTCAAAAGACCTTTTAGGTCAATTTCACTCAGCCCAATGAAGGCCCTCATTAGAAGACAAGGCTGCCCAGGGCTAGGGATACAGCTGGGGATGTAGCTCAGTGACAGAGTGCTTGCCTAGCTTATAGTCCTGGCTTCGATCCCCAGCACTGAAAAAAAAAAAAAAAAAAAGAAAAAGTTTGTCAAATTTTTACTCTGGTGCTTTAGGTTCAGATTTAAATGTCATGATGAAGGGGTTAGTTCAGGAACTAGAATCTCTCCAAGAAGCCTGGGACACAGCTGTGGGCTCAGGGGACCCTTCCCATCAAATTGACTCTTTGCAGGAGGAGAAAGCCCTGTGGGGTTTCTGAAGAGGGGCATGGAGTGTTTGCCTCTTAGGCACACCTCTCTGGTGCTATACCAGAGGAAACTAACTGGAAGGAAAGAAAATGTCCTAGAGGGAAGGAGAGAGCTCTCTAGGAGGTTTGTAACAACATTTCTCATATAGGATCAAGCACAAAACAGGTATAGGATCTCAAATCACAGATGTCGGGGCAGAATCAGACATCCTGGATCACTCGGTCTCACCCTTTACTGGGCAGGTCAGGGGCCCAGAGATGTTTAAGTAACTGGGCAAGATCACAGATCAAATGTAGAACTACAACTCAGGGCCTTAAGTCTGAATCCCACCGTGGCCTCTTTCATCTCTCTCAGTACCTACAATGAGCCTGTGTCTACAATAGATGCTTAATGAGTTCGTGTGGTTCTCTCTTTCCTGTTCCCATGATAGGGTGTCTGGTGTTCCCCAGAGCTTTCTCTCCTTTCTGCAGTTCGGTCCCCACTACTAGAGCTCCAGAGAGACTCACTATATTCCTGAATCTCTTTTAGTGATGAGGGTCCTTCTCTGGCTCCCAGCCTTCCTGACTTTCCTGATCTTGCTCCAGGCTGCAGCATCTAACACAAGTGGTAAGTGCCACATTGTATTTGTTTCCTGGGGCTGCTGTAACACAGCAGCAAACATGGGTGACTGAGGACAACAGAAATTTATACTCTTACAATCCAGGAGGCTGGAAATTCAAAATCAAGGTGATGGCAAGGTCATGCTCCCTCTAAAGAGTCTAAAGGAGGATTCTAGCTTGCCTCTCGCAGCTTCCAGTGGCTCTAGGCATCCTTGATGTCCTCCAGTCACAGCTGCATGACTCCAGTCTCTGCCTCAGCCTTCTCATGGCCTGCTCTGTGTGTCCACTTCTCTACTCACAAAACCCACCAGTTGCTGGATTTAGGGTTCACCTTTTTTCCAGTTTGACCTCATTTTATATCTGCAAAGATTATTTGCAAATGTAAGATCACATTCTGAGGTTCCAAGTGGCCATGAGTTTTGGACGGATCTTCAATCCACCATATTCTCCTTGTTCAGAGAATGGAGACTACCCCTTACACTCAGACCCCAAAAGGAATGAAAACAAGGAATCCTGCCTCTACCTTCATGCCATTCCCTTCCCTACTTCAGAGTCTTGGTGATCAGTTAATTTTTGTTGTTGTTGTTGTTCTAAGAATTGAACCCAGGGGTATTTTACCACTGAGACACATCCCCAGCCCTTTTATTTTTTCTTTTGAGATAGGGTCTCGCTAAGTTGCTTAGGGCCTCACTAAATTGCTGAGGCTAGCTTTGAAATTGCAATACTCCTGCCTCCACCTCTCAAGTCCCTGGGATTACTGTGTGTGCTGAGAAACTGATGTGACTCCATTTTTGAAAATAAATAAATAACAGCAGCTTCTAGCTCAAGGCCTGTCCTAAGGAAGAGGGTGTGACCCTTGTTCTGGGAAAAACCCACAGAGTACTCCTAAGCACATACCCACCCTGCTGAGTTATTTGTCTGTAAATAACAAGAGAGCTCTGCCTGTTCCAGGTGTCCCTGACTCAGTAAGGCTAGGTGAGGACTCAGAGCAACCCCCCTAGCCACCTCCAATCAGCATGAGACAGGGAAAATACCTGGGATGCCAGATGACCCCCAAGTAGTTTATGGTGGTTGATAACATGTTGTGAAACCATGTAGTTTAGCACGTACACCCCTCGTGGCCTAAACCAATCAGTTCAAAGGAATCCCCATCTTGTACTAACCAATCACCCCTACCCAACTTGTTCCCCCCAGTGAATGTGCTAATCAATGTTAAGAGTTGTTGTTTGACTTTCCCGCGGTATGGAATGATTTGCTGTGTGATGTTGTGATGCATAGAGTATCCCCCCAAACCTGTAAGATCTCACTGGATAAAGGACTGGGACTCACTCCCTGGGACGGCTGTGTCAGAAACGGTTGTGAGTCCAGGCTCGAGCTTGCAATAAAGACTCTTGTGTGATTGCATTGGATTCGGCTCCCAGAGGTCTACTGGGGTCCCACAAATCTGGCATTACAGTGCCACCATGTCAGCTCAGTCAATTTTTTGACAGACTTATTTAATGGTCCATGGGACCATCACCCCAGGAGCCAGAAAAAAATCCGCCTAGCCTGGGAGCCCAAGACAACTTGGGTGGTTACACCAGATACTCAATAATCTCATCACTGGGTGTTCAAGAAGAATTTGGAAGAGTAATTTTGACATCTTGTTGAAGATTAGAGAGTACTCATCCCATTCTGTGCTTCCATCCTTTAAAGGGTCTTCTCAAAGTTTCTTAGTCTTGGTCTTCTGACTGCTCAGATTTGATTGGTGGAGATAATGACTGAGAAAGAGGGAGACAGAAGCGAGAGGTTCTCCAGTGAGTGGTATCTGATGCTCTGCTTCTTCCTTCCTCCCCACCCCCAAGCTCAGTTCAACAGCACTGCTTCCATCTCTGATGCTGTGAGTCAGGTCAAGGTCCAAGTCAACAAGGCCTTCCTGGATTCCCGAACCAGGTATGTGTATGAGATGCATATGTGTACTTCCCCTCAAGGATTCCTGGTAACAACCAGCGTATCTAGGTCAGCTCTGACAAGCCAGTGAGCCAAAGCAATTATAAAGCTTGTCCTTCCGCCTGCCCCTCACCCCCAAGTAGGTGTCTGTTGAGAGCCACAGCTGAAGGGGCCCCAGCAAACTTCCAGCTGCCGGCTGATGATTGGCTCACAGCGGCCCCAGCAACATCTAGCTGATTGGCTCCTCTGGGTGATGCTCATTGGGCTGTTTCCCTGCCCTTTCAGACCACAGAGCTGCTCATTGGGGGACTTTTTTGGCTCCACCCACATGACCCAGCCAATGGACCTCAAGAGCAGGAGGATTGTGGGAGGTGGAGAGAGGCTTGTGTTAGAGAGAGAGGCTTGTGGAAAGCCGGTGGTGGCAGTTGGGGCTCTGAGGGTTTTTCCTGAGAGGCTGTTTTGTTTGGCGTGTGTGGTTCTAAAAATAAAGTTAGTTTCTTTTGACAAGTGGCTCCTGATTGTGCCCAGCCAGACTGCAGCAGGTGTCAAGGAGGAACAATAGCTCCCATCTCCTAAAATCCTCAGCCTCTAAGGTATCTTGAAGGGACATCTCATCTAGTCCTATAGAGACTTCCTTCTGTGTGGCCTAAGTGCTACCCTCTGGGACTGCTCTTGGGTCATGTGTGCTCATCTCAGAAAGACTCCAAGTAGAAGGTCTTTTTGTTGCTTTGTTTTATTTGCAGTACTGAAGATAGAATCCAGGAGCAGTCTACCTCTGAGCTACATCCCCAATGCTTTTCATTTTACTTTGAGACAGGGTCTTGCTAAATTGCCCAGGTGGGCCTCTAACTTGCAGTCCTCCTGCCTCAGCCTCCTGAGTAGCTGGGATTATAAGCACGTGCCACCATGCCTGGCTAGAGCCACTGGGCCTAGCCAGAAGATCTTCATTCATTTAATGAATATGGACTAATTTGGGTCAGGTTCCCCAGGAGCAGAACCAAGGCCTGGATTTGCTTGTAGGTAATTCTGAAGGGGAGGTCTCTCAGGGAGGCTGCAATGAAAAGAGAAGGGAAGAGAAGTAAAAGGAAGAAGTTAAGTGAGGATGTGGGTTCAGGTCTGACTTCAGCCTGACCCACAGGGAAACCTGGAGTATAAGGTGTACCCCAAAGCCTGTCCCAGCTTGGAGAATAGGAGCAAGGCTTTTGCCTACTCACATCATGCAGGTGTGGCTGCAGGCTAGGGGCTACAGGGAGGTACTGGAACATACTCGTGTTACTCCTGGGGACCTCCAGCCAGGGAGCTCCAGTGGCTCAGAAAAAAGTGCCCAACGAGGTCACAGGGTCAGCTATTAGTGGCTGCACTGACAATAACTAGGGAAAGAACACACTCAAGAGAGCCTGGGATCCCCCAGGGCACCAGCACAATCAGCCACCCTCCACCCATGAAGGAACTGAGACTCATGACATATACAAGGCAGACTGGGTTCCTGCACTCAGGACACCCACATTCCATTGAGAGCTAACAAGAGAAAAAGAGGGACCATGCACCCAGCAGAAATACCCTTATTCTTTCCTCTTAATCTGTCCCTAATACTATATCTAGGGCTTCTTTCCTCCTTGCCCTTGAATGAACTCTGAAGCAGTCCCATAACTCTTTGGGTGACTTTTTGATGATGAAATGTTTTCTAGTCACTTCTGGTCCCAGAACAGTACCATTTCAGGAATTAAAAGGTCAGCATGAGACAAAGCCCCAGGCTGCTCACTTCCCTCAGCCCACAATCCCTTGGGGAGGGAGCTCAGTGACCTTCTCCCTCTTTCCTGGACTTACCCTCTTCCTCCTCCTTGGTGGCTGAGCTGGGGGAAGGGAGGGCAAGTTCACAATCTAAAAATCAATGTGAAGATTCCTTAGAAAACTTGGAATGGAACCACCATTTGACCCAGCTATCCCATTCCTCGGTCTATACCCAAAAGACTTAAAATCAGTATACTATAGTAATAGCCACAACAGTGTTTACAGCAGCTCAATTCACAATAGCTAAACTGTGGAACCAACCTAGGTGCCCTTCAATAGATGAATGGATAAAGAAACTGTGGCATAAATATACAATGGAATATTACTCAGTATTTAAAAAGAATAAAATTATGGCATTTGCAGATAAATGGATGGAGTTGGAGAATATCATGCTAAGCAAAGTAATCCAATCCCAAAAAACAAAGGCCGAATGTTCTCTATGATAAGTGGATGCTGACCCATAATGGGAGAGGGGCGCATAGAAAAAATGGAGGAACTTTGATTGGGCAAAGGGGAGGGAGGGTTGGGGCTGGGGCATGGGGGCAGGAAAGATGGTGGAATGAGATGGACATCATTACCCAAGGTACATGTATGACTGCGCATATGGAGCAATGCTACATTGTGTACAACCAGAAAAATGAAAAGTTGTGCTGCAGCTGTTTACAATGAATCAAAATGCATTCTGCTGTCATATACACCTAATTAAAAACAAGGGGTTCCTCAGGTCTATGTCATAGGTCCTAGGTAGTTTTCAGGCCAGCCCAGTGCTACCCTCTGGGACTGCTCTCATCCATTTCCCCACCTTCCCTCAGAGCTTGACGCATACCTAAAGACCACAGTAGCTTCCTCCTCTCTGAAGAGGTTTTCCAGAGGTGTTAGAAGAAAAATAAAGAAAAGATCCTAAGAGCACAGAATATTTGTCTCCTATGTGCTGCCCACACCCGGGGGGCTCCTCCCTGTGCACACACCATCTCCATGCTCCTCCAATGGGCCACCAACTTCCTTCTACATGATCCCCTGTTGCTCTCCATTGTAGGCTGAAGTCCTCCCTGAGCTCTGAGACTCCCACCACCCGACATCTCTCACAGTACCTCAAGCAAGCCAAAGGCCGAACCCGAGTAGCTATTCGCAGTGGGCAGGTGTGGGAGGAGTCCTTAAAGAGACTGAGACAGGAGTCGTCCTTGACCAACGTCACAGGTACAAAAAACTCACTAGCCCTCTGGGGTCAGGAGGAATCATCTCCCCACAGAAAATAGCAGAGGCTGCCAAGAGTTGCACTTCCTGCTAGAAGCTGGCATTCCTTTCCCCCTGAGAGCTATAGGCCAGACTGGCAGAGCGAGGAGGTGCTTAGAGGACAGCTAGACCACTGCTGTTTTTGCAGATGAATGAACTCAGACCTACCAAGGTCACATTGCCAGCTCCTAATGAGGGGGTGTGGGCGATCTTTGTATAATACCATCTGTGAGGCCTCTACTTAGAGGAAGTGCTAAGGTCAATAAACACAGGCTCCCTGTTCCAAACCCCGGTGTCACCACTTCTGTCAGTGGAGGCAACATTTAAGCCTCCTGTGTCAGGTGGATTTACTGGTATTATCTAGCAAGTGATGAGATCTCTATCTTGTTCTGGGTAACAGGGAGCTGACACCCTGTTTCCTGCCTCAGAATGGAAAAAGAACCCTGTCCCTTTGGTGTCCCTTCTGTTTTAGGCTCCAGCCTGAATTTGACTTTGCTCTCTTGGGAGGTGGGCTGTGAAGCCCCTGCTCCTGTAGAGAAATGCGACATGGACAGTCCTTACCGCACCATCACGGGAGACTGTAACAACAGGTGACTGGGCGGGGGTGGGTGTGGGGGACAGAGCCTTCCAACCACCACGCCCAGCCCACCTGCCCAGCCCCGCCAAGCCAGGCAGAACTCCCACTGCCTTGTCCTTCTGGATCCTTCTAAAGATTGCATGTCTCCAGTGAGCCACGGTATCCCTCGGGAAGTGTCCCCTTTCACCAGGTCATAGGAGGACCGCACCTTGGGGGTGGGGATTCAGGGCCCCACATTTAAGAGCATCTCCTCCGCGTCCCCTTTTTGGGTCAGAGCTCCCGGCTTCGTCCCCATCGGGGTCGTGCGTCCTGGAACCCCAGGCCTCAGGGACTCAGTGCTACAGAACCGAAGGCCAGGGCTGAGACCGTTTTTCTGGGTTCCAGGAGGAAGCCAGCGCTGGGCGCCGCCAACAGGGCTCTGGCTCGCTGGCTGCCCGCCGAGTACCAGGACGGGCTTTCCCTGCCCTACGGGTGGACGCCGGGGAGGACGCGGAACGGCTTCCTGCTCCCGCTGGTGAGCGCCGACGGGCAGGGTGGGGCGCGCCCTCGAGGATGCGGGTGAAGGATGGGAGTCGGAGGGGGACCGATGCACCCCCTCAAACACGCAAGGGAAACGAAAAGAAATAGGTGGGAGGCTAGAGGGATGCGCGGCGGAGTCACCAGTAGAGATGATTTGGGTTGTTCCCCAAAATGTCACTAGAGGGCAGCAGAGCCTGGGGTCCAGCCACGTGATGGTCATGTCCCAGCTGCCACAGGCCAGATACCCTGGGGTCTCCAGGCAGATGGCTTCCCTGCCCCATCCTGCTCCTGCCTACCCTGCCCCAGCCCCTGGGGTGCATCAGCTGTCATTTGCCTGGGGGGTCCTATCTCTTGGCCTCAACTGAGTTGGCAGCACCTCCCCAGAGCCCCCGTCCTACGCCCAGACACCTGGCCCCTCTGTGGCACTTACTTCAGAGGCAGCCTGCTTTTGTTTCCCCTCTCAGTAGTGGAGAAAGCACTGACCTTGTGCATGGTCAAGGGATACAGACCTGGATTCAGCACCATGCCTGCCAGGACCTGAGAGCATTGACTTCACCCCTCTAGGATTTACTCTCCTTATTTACAAAGTGGACTAATGCTACCCACCTCACAAGCTCACTGTGCTCAATAAATTGACTCTGAATCCTCAAAGCACTTTTTCCTTCAATCTGCCCTCCCTTTCTCTCTGCATCTGTAGGCCCGGGAGGTATCCAATCAGATTGCTGGTTATCTGAACGAGGATGGTGTTCTGGACCAAAACAGGTCCCTGCTCTTCATGCAGTGGGGTCAAGTTGTGGACCACGATCTGGACTTTGCCCCTGATACAGAGATGGGGAGTAGCGAGTACTCCAAAACCCAGTGTGATGAGTACTGTATCCAGGGAGACAACTGCTTCCCCATCATGGTAAGCCCCAGCAGGTGAACGTCCTTGACAAGCCCCGTACTGACCCCATGTAACAGACATTCCCAGCCTAACGGCCAGGGTCTCATGATGGATCTTGGATGCTGATTTAATAGCTTTCCAAGCCTCCCTCATGCATTCATTTATTCAGTAATTAGACATTAACCGTCTACCCTGTGCCAGACAATGCACCAAGCACTGGGATTTGAAGGTGAATAAGACACTGTTCCTGCTCTCAAGGACAAAGGCCCAGTGTGGGAAATGGACAAGTAAACTACTAATTGCAAAATTGGGAAGCTGGGTGGGGGGTTATATCCCCTACCCAACAGCATCAGTATCACCTGAGGGTTTATTAGAAATGCAAAATCTCAAGGCTCCTCCAAACACTGGAAAATAGATTCTACATTTTCCCAACATCCCAGGAGGTTCATCCTGTATTTAAAGTTAGTGGAATCCTGAAGGATGATTTTATCTCCCAGAAAGAACTGAAACTTGATGTATGAGTCAGTGAGCAGCAAGGATTGGTGACAATGTCCAGCAGACAGGGAGACGAGCTTGTAATGGTGTCCTTTCTTCTTATTTGTGGGCTTTGCAGTTAGAGTGTTATTTATTCACTCAGACAACAAATCAAGGCTCCATGCTGTGGTATAAAGGACAGGAGCTGTGGAATGAGGTCAATCTGGATCTGAATTTCACATCTTTCCCTTCCAGTTTGTAAGTGCCTAGGCAAGTTACTTAACCTTTCTGAGTCTCACTTTTCTTATGCATAAAAAGGGTCTGAATGGTCTACTTTATGAGAACTGAAGTGAGATAAAGTATGCCTAATGCCTGGCATCTGGTAGGTCCAGAATAAACAAAGGGTTACTTTTGTTGGTAGTAATTGTTAACAAAACCCTTTCCCATCTCATGTGCTGCTTCCCTGTCTAGGGATTCCAGGACATCCTTCCCACCAGAAATTCAGAGCCCTTGCTGTGAAACAATGAATTATTGCTCTCAGCTCTTTACACAACAGGATGTAATGAACTTCATGACATGTTGGGCCAGGGATGTGAAAAGTCCCTGAGGAGACATCTGGGGTCAGTGTCTGGCACCAGGGTTCCAGGAGGGTACCATCACATCTTTGCATCCAGTCTGACCCTAGGGAGAGGTTGTCAGTCTAGTGTGCTGTTCCTGCTTAGTCACCCACTCCCAATGTCTCTGCAGTTCCCACCCAATGACCCCAAGTTGGAGACTCAAGGGAAGTGCATGCCTTTCTTCCGAGCCGGGTTCATCTGCCCCACTCCGCCCTACCAGTCACTAGCCCGAGAGCAAATCAATGCTCTAACCTCCTTTCTGGATGCCAGCTTCGTGTATGGCTCTGAGCCAAGCCTGGCCAGTAATCTGCGCAACCTCAGTAGCCCCGTGGGCCTCATGGTTGTCAACGAGGAGTTCTCAGACCACGGGCTACCCTACCTGCCCTTTGTCACCAAGAAGCCTAGCCCCTGCGAGTTAATCAACAAGACAGCCGGCGTGCCCTGCTTCCTGGCAGGTGAGTCTAGGCTGGGAAGAGAATGATGGGCCTGTGGACAAGGGATTATCTAGGGAAGCTTTACCACTGCTCCCTTCTCAACATCCTTTTGGGAAAATGCACAAGAAGGCACCAATGTCTGTGGCACTGATCCAGGACTGGCAGAGGGGCCCAGATGAAAAAAAAAAAAAAATCTAGGAACATGTGTTCACTGTATAACAAGTACGAAAGTCCAGAAAAGCATAAACAAAATCCATATAATTCCACCACCTACCAACAATCATTAATATTTTAATGCCAATCATTCCAGTTTTTTCTCTCACATAGTTCTGCATCGTTCTATGTGTCACACTATAAATTATGCTCTAGGGGCTGGTAGAGCGGTAGCGCGCTCGCCTGGCATGCATGCGGCCCGGGTTCGATCCTCAGCACCACATACAAACAAAGATGTTGTGTCTGCCGAAAACTAAAAAAATAAATATTAAAAAATTCTCTCTCTCTCTTTAAAAAAAACAATTTAAAAAAAATTTTAAAAAAAATAAATAAATTATGCTCTATAATCTGATGTCTTCACCTAACATATCCCACATCATTATCTGTTCTTCTACAACATGATTTTTAATGGCTGCCTGATATTCTGTGGTATATCTTAACCAAAAAAAAAAATTTTTTTTTTTGCATCCTCTTTGGAGGCGATTCTAGTTTCTCTTTGTTTTCTTAGTGTTTAGGCAGTGAACAGTCTTGTTGATGAATCTTTGGTCTCATCTTTAATACATTTATTAAGGCATTTTCCTCAACGAGAAAGTTCTAGATTAAGAAGAACCTTAGCCCAAACCTACCACTCCATACAATCTGTGCACAACCAGAGCCCTCCTGATTCTGTTCTTTCCAGGGGTTCATGCTCTCCTGGTCCTCTGTGTCTCTGGCTTCTGGAAACATACCCTCCAGAATTTACTCTCCCAGGACAAACCTCTGGCCACCCTAACAAAGCAGAAGGCCAGCCCGTAGGCCAAGGACTTTTGGTAGATCTTTTTAATTGTGTGCCCACATACACCCGACACCAATCCAGACATGGAACCAAGTGCTTTCCTGTTTTTCATAAAAATAGCCACTAATGCCAAGCATTAGCAAATTTAAGAGGCCTTTCTTTTTTTAATATTTATTTTCTGGTATATATGGACACAACACAATGCCTTTATTTTTACGTGGTGCTGAGGATTGAACCTGGGTCCCACCCGTGTAGGCGAGCGCTCTACTGATGAGCCACAATCCCAGCCCCTTAACAGGCCTTTCTTAAGCCTAAAGAACACAGGGAGAAATCCCCTGGTGAGACACCTGATCTTCACCATTTTGACTGTCTCCCCCTCCTTGCTTCTCTCCTTCTCCCCAACAGGCCCCATCTCCAGATTCTTCTCCCTCTACTACCCAGAGGAATTCAGCCTTACCCAGGCTCCTGCCCTCAAACCTGCTTTCATAAAATTTTCAAAGATACTCTGCAAAGTAAAAAGCCCCTAGCTTTGTTTATTTGAACTGCCCTTCTTGGAAAGTTGGGTAATAATTTATTTAAAAATTTCCCACCTAAATTATGAGACTGAGGCTCAGAAATGTCAAGTAATCTGCCCAAGATCACCCAGCTAAAGAATATGTGTATAGAATTCAGATGCAAAGCTATGATTCCACCCTCTCCTATCCCTCTCCACCTGGCTTCCCTTGGATGGAGGGCCCCCAGGAGAGCACCTTGGGGCACTATCATATCTTCGTGCTGGTCACTGAGTTCTGCTCAGGGAGAACCTATCTTCCTGCCTTCTGGGCTTTCAGGAGATGCCCGAGCCTCAGAGCAGATCCTGCTGGCCACTTCCCATACCCTGTTTCTTCGAGAGCACAACCGGCTGGCCAGGGAACTGAAGACACTCAACCCTCAATGGGATGGAGAGAAGCTGTACCAGGAAGCCCGAAAAATCCTGGGAGCCTTCATGCAGGTACAGAAGTGCAGGAACCCACTGCCAGGCACCCGGTTCCTACTCCAGGCTCTGTCCTCTGCTCACTGTGGTACCCCAAGCCACCTCTGCTGTTCTCCACACCTCCCTGCCCCTTCCTCTCCACTACTGCTTCTCTTCCATTGTCTTGCTCTTTAAAATCCTCCCCCTTTTGTTTCTTCAGCTTCTCTGTCCCAAAATGAAACCCTGGGTTCAGAGTGTCAGAGAGTTGTTCATACCTTGGTGCCTCAGCATGCCTGCCCTGGTGCCAGCATTGGGACTGTAGGCGCCATTCCTCTTGGGACTGCTATAGAGCAGTGACTTGGACTCTTTTGATTTGATTCTCTTCCTTTTTAATTGTCTACACCTAACCCACGTGTCATGGGCACACTCAGCTGGTATTGCAGATTTGATCATCTAACTAGAAAGACTTGGAATGATGGGTTGATATTTACCCTATATAAACCTTTTAAACATTTTACTTTCAAATAATTATAGCTTCTTGAGAAGTTGCAAAGCAAGCCAACAAACCAACAAAAATGTACAGAGAGGCCCATGTGCCCTTAACCCAGCCTCTCCCAGTGCTGACATCTTACATAGCCATGGTACAGTAGCAAAACCAGGAAGTTAACATTGTTCAGGTTTTACTAGTCATAAATGGAATCGTGTGTGTGTGTGTGTGTGTGTGTGTGTGTGTGAAGCTCCATGCAATTTTAGCACAGGTATAGCTTTATGTGACTACTGCCACAATAAAGATACTGCACCATCTCATGCTACTCCTTTAGAACTATCTCCGCCCTCACCCCTATGTCCATAACCCCAGCAAAATTCTAATCTATCCTCCATCTCAATAATTATGCTATTTCACAAATTTTATATAAATGGAATGATGCAGTATATATCCTTTTGAGATAGGCTTTTTTATTTAGCATAATTTCTGTGAAGTTCATTCTAATGGTTGTGCATATCAATAGCTCTTCCTTCTGCATGGTGTGTATTACCACCATTTTTTTAATATTTATTTTTTAGGTTTAATTGGACACAATATCTTTATTTTACATTTTTGTGGTGCTGAAGATCAAACCCAGTGCCTCATGCCTGCTAGGCAAGCGCTATACCACTGAGCCACAACCCCAGACCCACCACCATTTTTTTTTTTAACCATTCAGCTATTGAAGGATATCTAGATAGCTTCCAGTTTAAGGTTACTATGAATGAAGCTGCTATGAACATTCATGTATAAGTTTCTGTGTGAAACTAAGTTTTTTTTTTTTTTTTTGAGGGAATATATGCCTGAGATTACCATTACTGGGTCATATGGTAAGTCCATTTTTACCTTTAAAAGGAACTGCCAGACTATTTTCCAGACTGGCTGTACCATTTTACATTCCCACCAGCAATGTATGCATGATCCAGTTTCTCTGCATCCTGCTCAACATTTGATATCCTTATTATCTTTTATTCTACCCTTACTGATAGGTCTGTAGTGATATCTCATTGTGGTTTTAATTTGCATTTCCTTATTGGCTAGTGGTGTTAAACATATTTTCATGTGCTTGTTTGCCATTTGTATAGCCTCTTCAATGTTCTGTTCATGTATTCTTGGGCTGTTGTCTTTTAATGTTGAGTTTTGAGAGTTTTCTCTATATATTCTAGACACGAGTCCTTTGTCAGACATATGACTTGCAAGTATTTTTTCTTCCACCTGTGCGGTAATTTGTTTGGTTTGGTTTTGGTTTTATTGAGAGGGGTTTCATCCTCTTAACAGGTCTTTTGCAAACCAAGAACTTTTAATTTTAAATTGAATGAGGCTCATTTTTGTCAGTTTTTCTTCTTATGGATTGTGCTTATGGTAGCAAATGTCAGAATGCTTTCCTTTTACTTGACCCACTTTTTAAGTTTAATTCTTCTTAAGTATTTTCTCTATATAGATTTAGCACCACCTCATATAGAGCTTCAGTCATAAAATATTATTAAAGAAACCTATAGGATAGAAAATAATTGATTATGTTTACTTTTTTTTTTTTTTTTTGCCATTGTGTATTGTGTGATTGTGAAGTCTAAACTCAGGGCCTTGTGCATGCTAGACAAGTGCTCTACCACTGAGCTACATCCCCAGCCCTTGTTATTTTTTATTTGAGATGGGGTCTCACTAGGTTGCTTATATCCTGGCTAAGATGCTGAGGCTGGCTTCGAACCTGTGATCCTCCTGCCTCAGGCTCCCAAGCCACTTGGATTACAGACATGCACCACCACACCCAGCTTTGTAGCCATTCTTTAAGGGTAAATGGACTAGCAGTAAATTCTCTTAGCTTTCCTCTATTTGAGAATGTCTTTATTTTCCTCTTGTTCCAGAGGAACAGTTTCACCAGATGTTAGATTTGGGGTTGACAATTCTTTTCTTTCAGCACATAAAAAATGTTCCACTTCATTCTGACCTCTGTGGTTTCAGATGAGAATTTTGCTATTATATGAATTGATATTTCTTTTTAGGTAATGTGTCGCTTCTCTTTGACAGTTTTTAAAACTTTTTCTGTGTGTTTAGTTTTCATAAATCTAATTGTTGTGTGTCTTGGAGTGAACTTCTTTTTGGTTTATCTTGTTTTGGGTTCATTCCTCTTCTTGTATGTGTAAATGTATGTCCTTCACCAATTTGGAGAAAATTTCAGGCATTTTTTTCTTAAATCCTTTTTCAGTTTCACTCCCTTTCTCCTCTGCTTCTGGGACTCCACTGATATGAAGGTTAGATAGTTTGTTATTGTCCTACAGAACCAGTGACTCTGTCTTGCTGGAGGTTTATTTATTTTTTTCCTTTTTTTAATCAGTGTATTTTCTCTCTGATGTACAGATTGAGTAAATTCTACTAATCTGTCTTCATTTCTATTCTTGGTTATGTCCACTCTACTATTATTGAGTCTATTCAAGTATTTTGGATTTTTTTTTTTTCAGGTAGTATGTTTTCAGTCCCATCATTTCATTCTATTTCATCTTCTGCTTTTTGCTGAGATATTCTGTCCTTCGTTTCTTTTCTTGAGGAGAATCGATAATTAGTTATTGAGACATTTTTAAAGTGGCTGCTTTAAAAATCTTTATCAGATAATTCCAACATTCATGTCGCTAGAGGCATCAGTTGATTGTCTTTGCTCACCAGTGTGGTTTTCCTGGTTCTTGGTGTTATGAATGACTTTCAGTTGTACCTTAAGGCATTTTGGCTTTTCTATTAGGAGACGCTTGATCCTGTTTAAAATCTGTTTTAGGGGCTGGAGTTGTGGCTCAGCAGTAGAGTGCTTGCTTAGCACATGTGAGGCCCTGGGTTCGATCCTCAGCACCACATAAAAATAAATAATATAAAGGTATTGTGTCCACCTACAATTTAAAAAATATATATATTTTTTAAAAAATCTGTTTTAGCATGCAGGTACCTTGTTTAGGTTTAGCACGTAGGTTCTGATCTACTTTCAGAGTTTTAGTTCCAGTGACAGCTTAGTTTCTTGAGCCCTTCCTATGCTGATCTGGTCTGCTTCATTCTTCTGGTGCTTCTGAGCTCCCCACTTAGCCCCAGCTGGTCCTGTCTACAGTGCAAGAAGGTTCTTTCCTGGCTGTCAGCCGTTGCTAAGCAACCTTCTGGGGAAGCAGAAGCCACATACTTGGGTATCCCTGGTGAAAATCAAAGGTAAAGAGCAAAGGGGCACAGTGTTCACTGCTGCCACGGCTGCAGGCTGATCAGACCACCCGCCAGCCTGGATTGTGGATGGAAGGCTGGGATGGCAGGGCTTCCCCAGGACTCAAGGTGTGAAGTGGGGACTGCGGCTTTCCTCTGAGTCTGTACTGGCTCTCCCCCATCCTAGTGCTTTAGAAGGAGACAGGAGGCTTTTCTTGGCTTCTCTCTACCTGTTCCTGTTCTCCAACAGCCTCTTCTGCTCCCAGTCTGTGGGTATGACATTCCTCAAGTCCTGAGGTTCCCAACCAGTCCATCTTCTTTTTTGTCAGCTTTTAGAGCCCTCTTACTATTGCCTGATGAATAATTTCCAGGGTTTTTAATTATATTCAATGGAGCAGAGTAAGGTAAAATGAGTCTATTCCACTCTAAAACCAGACGTCTCATGCACCTATTTTTTTTTGTTATCAAAGAGATCTATTCTCATATTTAAAAAAAAAAAAGAAAAGAAAAGAAAAAGGACCCAAAATCATGCTGCTGGAGATGTTTGTAGGAAATCATCCAAGAGAATAAAAAAAATGTCTGCCTAAAGATTGCATGAGTTAAATATTGTATTAGTTTGCTAGGGTTGCCACTAGAGTGTCAATATTTTAGGATGGCTTATACAACAGAATTTTCTCACAGTTCTGGAGGCCAAGTTCAAGATCAAGGTGTTGACAAGTCTGGTTTCTCCTCAGATCTTTCTCCTTAGCTTATAGTCATCTTTCCCCCATGTCCTCTCTTGGTCTTTTCTCTGTTCATTCTCATTCCTGTTCTGCCTCTCTGTCTCCCTCTCTCCCTCTTTATAGGGATACCAGCCCTACTGGATTAGGGTGCCATCCTTATGACCTCAGTTTCCTCCTTAAAGACTCCACCTTCAAATATGCACACATTGGAAGCTTTGACATATGGATGAGCAGGGGACACAAGTTCATCCATAACAAGGCTTTTGGGCCTACAAGAAAACAACTCAGTCTAGTTCAGATGTTCAGTTAGGTTCAACCCCATCCAAGTGTCAAATGGAAGATGAGAAAGGTTTCTCCTGGGACCCCCATAGTCAGTAGAGTGGTTAAAGCCTCATCCAGGGTTGAATCAGACAATGGAAATCATCTGGAAGTAGGACAACTACTCTTGCTAGCTCCCTCCTCCCTGCTCCTCTCTCTACTTCTCCACTCTCAATGCAGATGGGTTTTCTCTGCTTTCCAGCAGATGGTAAAAAAAATAACCACCCATGTGATCTCATCTGTCCTCTCAAATTAAGCACCATCTGAAATAGCTATATCCAGAACCTAAATTCTTGAGACAGAATCATACCAGCTTGTTCTGGAGCCACAGATGGGCCAGTCACTGTGGCCAGAGGCAGGGCTCTGTCTCCTGCATCCTCTACAGCCTGGGGAGCAGAGTGCCTGCTGGATGGATGATATCCCCACAGGCTAAGCCATGGACAGACTGGAAGCCAACCTGAGGGTAAATCTCAATGAATGCATTAGAATATTGCACACATTTAAAATAATTGTGAAAACTAGGTCGAAATGTGGAAAATGTTAATTGACAAAGAGGAAATGCTCTCTAGGAGTAAAACTGTGTCAAAATATGCATCATATAAACAAAGAAAGAAAGGATAAATATTGAGGTTTTTTTTTTTTTTTTTGTAGTAATTCATTGTATTTGAGTAAAACCAAACCAGGAATCAGCCTCTCTATGGTGCAGCACTTCTTTCAAAACTGGGGATGGAATGAAGTTCCCTTGGTGGTCCCTGACTCACTTCTGTGGTTCATCATCCCTCTTACGCTGGCCTGTGAGGAAAAGTTTAATAATATGACATTGTTACATTTAAATGACATATAGGCACTGCCACTTTCGCACCAAGGTCATAAACTTAGAGCAAAGATGCATAGAGAGTATATATCAAATGCCAAATTCAAATGACTGATTTGCCTATGTGGAAACAAATCATGTGAGATCACAGAAAGAATGTCATGTTTGATTAACAATGTCTGCCACGGTCATAGGAATTGAAACAAGGTACAAAGGCTGTTTGCCACCCTTGACTGCTCATGCCCCTTGGTGGCAGCTCCTCTTCAGCCTCCCTCTGTAGAGACTTAAGCCTTCTCACATTCTTTCTTCCTAATTTGCCTCTCCCTCTAGATTATCACCTTTAGGGACTACCTACCCATCGTGTTAGGTGCTGAGATGCAGAAGTGGATCCCCCCATACCAAGGCTACAATGAATCTGTAGATCCCCGAATTTCCAACGTCTTTACATTTGCGTTCCGCTTTGGTCATTTGGAGATCCCCCCTACTGTGTCCCGCCTGGATGAGAATTATCAGCCATGGGGTCCAGAACCGGAACTCCCCCTGCACACGCTCTTCTTCAACACCTGGAGGATGGTCAAAGATGGTATGTCCAATCAGGAAAGTGCCCTCCCTCTCCTGACTCCCCCTCGTTGCAGCTTGCTGTTAGGGACACCTGGCCTGGAAGTCAGACTGCAAGCACTTCCTGTGGGGCCTTGGGCAAGTGAATTCATCTTAACTGAGCCTCATTTTCTTTGTTTGTAAAATAGGGACAATAATAGTACCCATCTCGTGAGGATATCCAAAAAGTTAAAGGAAATAGATGTGTAGAGAACCCTAAAATGATTCCTAACACACAAAAGGTTATCAGTTATTCCTTTCCTCCTTCTAACTTGTAAGCTGCCTGGGATTTCCTTACCTCTTCTCTATGACCTAGGGCTTCTCTGCCCTCTGAAGACAGAGTTCATGGTCTTCTCAAATAGCTCTTCTCTGCTCTCTTCTAGAACCTTCCACCCCATGAGGTGCCAGAGGTTACATGCAACTGTCCTTTACCCCTGTCTGTTCTGTGCTGAAACTAGCTTAGTAAGGGCCTAGCAAGCCAGGGCCATTTATTAAAGATGTGCACCCCCCGACCCCCACCCTCCCCCCCCTCCCCCACCCCCCCCACCCCCGTCTTCCTGTGCTGCAGTGTTCTTCAGGGCAATATATGGAAAGAGAAGGAGCTGACCCAATGAACTAGAACTTGAAAACAGTCTTGATATTTATATTCATGCCACTGTCCCATGAATGGCCCTTCCTACCACCCCAGGAGTGGGCAATCTGGACTCCCCTTTCCCTGAGCTCACCTGTGTTGTCTTCTTCTCTTGCTGTTTCCAGCCAGGGATGTTTAGTTGGCCCTATTTTAGACAGGTAATTTGTCTGGTGGAGGGAGGGGCTGGCTGTGGGAGACGTCCTCTTCCTCTTCCATCCTAAGGATGACCTCTAGGTCTCCCTTTGCAGGTGGAATTGATCCTCTGGTTCGGGGCCTGCTGGCCAAGAAGGCCAAGTTGATGAATCAGAATAAAATGATGACAGGAGAAGTACGCAACAAGCTCTTCCAGCCGACACACACCATCCATGGCTTCGACCTGGCTGCCATCAACATCCAGCGCTGCCGGGACCACGGGCAGCCTGGTAAGTGGGCCAAGGGTCTGGCCCAGCCTGGAGCACTTGTAGCTACTTTCTAGGGTCCCTGGAGATTCTCCTCTGTAACCCTGAGCATCTGATCGATTCTGAAACAGAAGGCAGGCCAGTTTTTTAAAACCCATGTTGCTCATCCCTGAAATGGAATCTTTCATTTTCCCTAATGCAGAGACAGGAGCACATACCTGATACCATCTTGGAGTTCCTCTGCTGTAAAGGAGATCAACAACTAACTTGTAAATGAGCTTAGAATCCCAGAAAACAATAGAGAGAAGCCAATGACCACTGGAACTTTTTTTGATACCCATAATGGCAATTTAATGTAGTTAAGAATCAAACTGCCCAAGTTCAAATCCCAGCTGTGCCATTTACTAGTTCTGGGCCATTTCTCTCCTTCAGTTTACACATTTGTACAGTGCTTAGCTTAGGGCCTGGACCCATAGCAATCACCAGGGAAGCTGCTAGTTATTCCCCAACTGCAGTGCCACACACAGAAAACCACAGCTCACTACTTCCCCTGTCCCAAAGACTGTGAGTCTAGACTTTGGAGGCTTAGGGAGCTGGAGTGGGTCTATTCCCAAGGGGAAATGAGCAGGAAGTCCCTGGGATGAAACAGCCCCAGCTTCTCCACCCCAGGGTACAACTCCTGGAGAGGCTATTGTGACCTCTCACAGCCACGGACGCTAGAGGAGCTGAGTGCTGTGCTGAGGAACGAGAGGCTGGCCAGAAGCTTACTAGATCTCTACAAGACCCCTGACAACATCGACATCTGGATAGGGGCCATTGCTGAGCCCCTGGTAGAAGGAGGCCGAGTGGGGCCTCTCCTGGCCTGCCTCCTGGGCCAGCAGTTCCAGCGGATCCGCGATGGAGACAGGCAAGTGACACCTCCACCCAGGGAGGCCTGGATGGAGCCCTTCTCTGAGGTGACTGGGCCACCATCCTGTGGGAGGACTAACTCCAGCTCCAGCACAGGTGGAGCTTTTCATGTGCCCAGTGACCTCCTTTGGCAGAGTGGGGAGAGGCCAGCAGGTGGACGTGACCCTGGAGTGACCCTGCTTCTGTCTCTGCAGGTTCTGGTGGGAAAACCCTGGGGTCTTCACAGAGAAGCAGCAAGACTCTCTGCGAAAAATGTCCTTCTCACGCCTTGTCTGTGACAACACTCACATCACCACAGTCCCACCGAACCCATTCCAGGCCAACAGCTACCCCCAAGACTTTGTAAACTGCTCAGCCATTGATACGCTGGACCTCTCACCCTGGGCCTCAGTGGAGAATTAGGTGCCCCGGGGCCATGGCCTCCCGCATTGCCCAGTAACTCTCCCGTTGGCCCATGTTGCCATTTCAAGCAAGTTCAATGTCCTGGGCCCTTAGAACTCCTCACCCCAGTCCCTGCCCTTTCCTTTAGCCAGGCCTCTCTTGCAGATGAATAGCTCACTCAAGCCCAAGGGCGCCATTTCAGCCTCCGGAGCTCATCCACTTGGCTCCCACCACTTCCACGCCCATTCCCTCAGCCCCAGGAAATTGTCTTTCTATCAAGACTCAGACCCCCATGATGGCCTGCCAGTCCAGCTTGCCTGATGTCACCCATCCTCTCCCCTGAACAATCATTGCTGGGGCTGGGGCTGGGGCCTTGGACTCTGATCCTTCCTCCTTCCTCCCAGACTAGATTGTGAACTTCCCAAGCCAGGGACTTCCTCTTGCTACTACGCAGAGCCCAAGGCACTCAGCATGGTGTTCAGCTCACTTATGTGCTCAATAAACATCTGATAGTGGATGAAAGGCACTAGCAAAGGCACTGCTCCTTTCTGAAGGCAGGCCTTGGAACATTGCCAGATAAGTAACTAGATGCTTATAGTCCAGAGTGGCTGGCCCTACACTGTCTTGTGCATGGATGTGTGGGGTGAGAGGAGTGATTGGGTGGGATTTCCAAGAACTCTCAAAGAAGGGAGGCCGCAGGGGGCTCCTGGGGACATGAAGCAATGGCCACGGAGTAGCAGAAGAAGGCCTCAGGATGGGGATGTGTGGGGGAGGGGTTACAGGGACAAAACAGGAAGGGAAACCAAGCCTGGGTTTCCCTACAGCTAGAATTAATTTCTCGTTACCTTATGGGAAATACCCTCTTCTTCCTGTGCAGTCCTAAGAGCCTGTCAAGCCTCTGAAGGGGCAATTCCAGAACATCCCTTGAGCTGCTACCCAGTGGATATTCATACATCCTTTTAAAAAAAAAAAATGGCCCTCCAAAGGAAGGTCAGCCCAGGTGACTGACAGGTAGGAGTATGAGACACTCAGCTGTCCTGTAGGAAGAGCCCAGGGCAGAAGACCTGGGCTGAGGTCCTGACTGATGCCCACTTCCCCTCTCCACACAGCCCTCTCTTCATCAGTGACATGGGGGTGACTGGTATTCATCCTGCCACTCACCACAGTGAGGGCCTAGCTTCACTTGGGGGGCCCTCAAGTACACTAGGCTGCTTCCAGCAGCAGGTGCCCCTCCCTATATGTGGAAAGACAGAAGGGCAGGAGAGGGGCTCCACCAGTTGGATACAGGGGTCCAGATCCTGGGGTGGGGGATGCCTCCTCTCCCTCAGCACTGGCCCTGTCCTCCAGACACAGCCATCTGCTGTCCTTGCTCTAGGGGCCTGGTGATTTGAAATCTGGAAAGAGGATTCCACCATCTCGATGGCCTCTGAATCACTGTCCCAGGTTGAAGGATGCAGGACCCGGAGGTGCCCTGTCATCTGGGGAGGGTCTTCCTGCCAGCCCTCTGATCCTTCTCCCCGACAGGACAGGGTTGTGTTCCCTCTGTTTCCCAGCACCTGACACAGTCAGATCATGTAGTAAACATTTGCCGGAATAATGAATGAACATCAGGGCTTGGGGACCGTGTTCCTGTTCCACAGGTGGCAGAGGTGGAAGGTGAGGGACGAGGACCTGCTCAGCCTTGCCTGGCCCCAAGACTTCTAAGAACTGACTGCCCTCCAGGTATGGATTGGCCAGAGGACTCCCTGGTGCCCTCCCAGCTGATCAGAAAACCAGGCCCCGAGGCACCAACCACACTGGCTCCAATTTAGGGCCCAGAATGGGCCTCCTGCTGGGGCTCCAGCTCCTTCCCAGACACAAACAGAGGGGAGATCACCAGCAGTGACAGTTTATTATTATAAACATCAGGTACAAACAAATGGTACAGAAAGGTCAACAGCCCCTCCTTCCTCTCCAGGCAGGCTCCTGTGAATAAGCAAGAGAACAGAGTAAGAAAGGAAAAGGAGAGCTATGGACTGATCCTAGCTGCCCTGAGTCATCACTCAACTGCTAAAGGCTTGGTCCTCCAGAAGAGGCTGGTTCACCTCTGCTATGGAGGACAAAACTTCTTGAGGGCAAAAATGGTATCTGCCTTTCTTGACTCTGTTTCGCATGCCTAGTACAGTGCTTGGCATATAGCAGGTGCTCAATGAATGAAGAATTAGAGCATTTGTGGTAAATGGATAGAGTTGGAGAATATCATGCTAAGCGAAGCAAGCCAATCCCCCAAAACCAAAGGTTGAATGTTTTCTCTGATAAGTAGATACTAATCCATAATGTGGTGGTGGGGGGTATGGGATGAGTAGAAGAATTTCAGATTGGGCAAAGGGGAGGAAGAGGAGAGTAGGAAGTATGGGGTTAGGAAAAATAATGGAATGAGACGGATATCATTACCCTAGATACATGTGTGAGTACACAAATGGTGTGACCCTATTTCTTGTACAACCAAAGAAGTGAAAAATTGTGCTCCATTTGTGAACAATGAATCAAAGAGCATTCTGCTGTCATGTATAACTGATTAGAACAAACAAACAAACAACAAGAAAAAAGAATTAGAGAATGCAAACAGGCTCCCTGTGGAGCTGTCATTTACAAGAAAGAAGACTCAGGCTTAAGGAGATTCAGTGGTTTGCCCAAGATCATGAAGCTAACAAGCTGCAGAGCCAGGATTTAAATCCAGGTGGCTTGGCTCCTGGGCTGTGCTCTGCTTCTTCCATATACTTAATACTCTTATAAGCAGCAAGCACACTCACATGAATGATACACATACAACACTGCCCATGTTCACAGACAACACAAATATTTGACATTTGGATTTACATACATTGCACACATGTACACACACAAACACATACGAGTGAATATTCAGTCATTTTCTCAACTGGCACCCAGAACGGGGTTGGGCTCACCTAGGGAAGGGAGCTCTCTGTCATTCCAATCAGCCAGCCCAGGTTTACCCCTCACTGGAGTAGACTCTTACCCAGCTCTAGGCCTCCCTCCAGGAAGTCAGGTCCAACGCAGGGAGAGAACTGCAGTTGACAAAGTCACGGGGGAATGAGTTGGACATGAAGATGTTGTTCCTGGACACGGTGGTGATGCCTGTGTTGTCGCAGATGATACGGGGCAAGGAGATCCTGGCCAGGGCCTGCCGTTGCCTCGTGCTGAACACATTCTTGTTCTCCCACCAAAACCTACACGGGGGCATCCATAGACATTGTGCCTGAGGCTGGCATGTTCTGGGCTGGAGGGTGTCACCTAGCTTGAAGTGCTCCCTGGATGCAAGACTCCACTCTGAAGCTCAGGAGAGCTCCAGGCCCTTGAGAAATACAGGGATTTTCAGTACAGGGAAGACTAGGGGTCTCCCACTCACAAAACAGAGTAAAGCCCAGCTTTCTGGTTACCTGCTCTGGCCCCAGCCCATCAGCCTCCAGGACACCATTCATACTAGAAAGGAGGGAGCAGAGCCCACCCTCCTTCATGAAGTCCTGTGCCCAGGGCTGCATCCACAGGAAGGGGGAATGGGGACACTTTCTAATATTCCCAAAGGTGCAATATGGACCAGGTAAGAACTGGACATGAAGGTGTCATGACCACGATGAAATGACACAAAGGGAAGCCATGGGAAAGCTATGCTGGGACTATTTGATGGTGATTGACATCTCCATAGTTGCACAGAGAAACCCAAAGAAGTAGTAAGAATGGCATTTTTTTTTCTGTCTTCCTTCTTTTGAAATCAGGACTCCAGTTTCCTCCCTGCTGTACCCCTACAGGCTCAGGACACATTAAAGATGACCTGGAGGCTCCCTGAGACACAGAGGGAAATCAATGACTCTTTGCAGCCCTTAACTTGACAGGAGGAAATTGAGGCCCCTGACAGGTTCAAAGATAGGCCCGTGGCCACCCACCCAGCCAGCCTGAGCTGCTGCAACACTTCCTCACCGATCTCCATCGCGGAGCTTCCTGAACTGGGTGCCAATGAGGCAGGCGAGGAGCTGGCCCACACGGCCGTTGGGCTCCAGGGGCTCAGCCACGCCACCCATCCAGATGTCAATGTTATTGGGCGTGCCATACTGTGCCATCAGCTTCCTTGCCAGGTCCAGGTTCTTCATCACCGTGCCCAGCTCACCCACTGTGCTGGGCTGTGGGAGCCCACAGAAGCGCCTCCAGGCATTGTACCCTGCATGGGAGAGGGGGCAGTGAGCTCTGGATGGTCCACCTGCTACAAGGTGGGGAGGACACTGGGACAGCAGGGAAGATTCAGATGTATGCCATTAACCCAGAAAACCCAACTTCTCCACATCCCAAGGCCATAGAGGGAGCCCTGACCCCTTGACTCAGGACAAGAGGGACAGCTAGGCCTCCCCAGACCCTCATTGTCTCTCCTTTGCTCTCCCACCCTAAGGCAAACACTAAACTGCCATAACTCCTGCCAGGTCCAAGAACGGGGCATCTCATTGTCCCCTGGAGCAACCCACTGTGTCTATCTCTGACCCATGATGGGTAAAGGGCGTCTCAAAGGCTCAGCCACACAGGCCACCCATAACCCATGCACAGACTTTGGGGTCAGGCTGATCTGGGTCCAAGTTTGTGATCTGTCACTGATTTGGCTAGAGAACCTAGCCAGATTTTGACTGTCTCTATGCCTCAGTTTCCTCATCAGTCAAGCGGAAGTAACAATCTCTTCCCCTCCAAGTTCACGAACAACAGGTCAAAATGAAATGATGGTAGAGACACATTTCCACCCTGTGGGTGACTGTTGCTGCCGCTGCTCCTGCAGGTTGGAACGTGCAAAGGAGCCTGAGAGAAGCTAGAGTTTGATCAGAGGGGTCCAGGGAAAGGGAGGTGCCTGACCTCAGATGACTTCCTGAGGACAAAGTGCTAGGGTGAGGGAAGCTTTGGTCAGCTCAGGGCATGGAAAGGGCAGGGCCCCGAGTGGGAAGGGGAGCTGTGGGCTCCCTGGATGGTAGGATGGGGGCTGCAGGTGGCCAGGGAGACTCCTGCAGCCCCTCACCTGGGAGGCCGTGGTCCCTGCTGCGCTGCATGTTCAGAGCGGGCAGGTCCAGCCCGATCCTCATGACCTGCTCAAACAGTCGTTCCCGAATTTCATCCACCACAATTTGGTTCTGGCGATTCAGCTTGGCGGGGGTGGCCATGAGGCCCCGGAGGATGGGGTCAATGCCACCTGAAGGCAAGAGGAGCAAGGTTGAGAGACAAGGATTAGCTCAGTATCAAAGATCAGACTGGAGCCAGAGCAAGGCCAGGTGGGGTCAGGGGATTGGAGAAGAGGGACAGCCATAGGCAACACTTGGTGCCAAGGTGGCCCCACTGGGCAGGTTCTCACTGGGCACTACATGACCCCAGGGGCATATAGGGCTCAGGAGATGATGTCATTCAGGTTTGCAAGGTTGGGATGCATCCCTTCCCTGGCCTCCTGACTCACAGAGTCCCAACACATAGGAAGGAGCCAGCTCTATCTGAGAACTATCTCCACCCTCACTCTTTATTCTTGGATCTGGAGGTAGAGTCAGGTGCACTGAGAATGGAAGATCAGACTAGATCCCCAAAAAAGGAAAGAAAGAGCTCCCCTTACCCTAGCTCCCTGCACCCCAGCCCACCTCTCCCACCCGCAGCTGCCAGCGCCCTCTCTGCTGGTCCAAGTCCCACTCACCTTCCAGCACCACCCTCCAACTGGCAAAAAAGACCCTGCTGAGTGGAACTCGAGGATTGGGCTCCATGGGCCGGTACTGACTGTCCAGGCGGAACATGAAGGGTTGGATGAGGGTGTGGCCATAGCGGAAGGCATTGGTGAAGACGTTGGAGATGCGCGGGTCCACCGAGTCGTTGTAGCAGCGATATCTGGGTAGGTACTTCCTCATGGCCGCTGGCCCCAGCACCAGGGGCAGGTAATCTCGGTAAGTGATGATCTAAAAAAAATAAGTCACTTGGAACAGTCTCTCCACTCACTGGTCACTGCAGTGTCCACCTGCTTCAGGCTTGGGTGATCGCTCCTATCCATCTAGGTCAGTGCAATGAATCCCACAGTACTGATTCAGTCCAGGTGGGGAAAGGGGGTTAGAGAAGAAGGCTGCACATATCCAACACCTCAGAGTGGCACTAAGGAGCATAAGCAGAGCTCTGCTGTTTGCTGGCTCTATGACCTTGGGCCATTTACTTACTTCTTTGAGCCTCAATTGTAAATTAGAGATAATTATATAGGATAATTATATATGTGTGTGTGTGTGTGTGTGTGTATGTGTGTGAATGCCACAGTCTGGCTGGGCACAATTCAGGAGCCACTTGTCAAAAGAAACAAACTTTATTTTTAGAACACACTCGCCAAACCACACAGCTCTTCAGGAAAACCTTCAGAGCCCAACTGCCACCACCGGCTTCCCACAAGCCACTCCACCTCCCCCACTCCTCCTGCTCTTAAGGCCAATTGGCTAGGTCTCGTGGGCGGAGCCAAAAAAAGTCCCCCAAGGAGCAGCTCCATGGTCTGAAAGGGCGGGGAAACAGCCCAATGAGCATCACCACAGAGGAGCCAATCAGTTGGCAGCTAGAAGTTTGCTGGGGCTGCTGTTAAATGAGGCCAAGGAGTTTGGTTGGGTGACAGTGGCCAAAAAGAAGAGGAAAGTAGATAAAGGAGCCAAGAGTGACAATGAAACAGAGGAAGAGAGAAATGTCCACTGAACTGCTGCTGGGCATCAGAGACCCCCCTGGTGGATTCTCCCAACACCACTGCCAGGCCCACAGCAAAGAGGGAAACAAGGCAGGAAGTGGGGGAAGGGAAGTAGCCTTTGCCAAGCATTTCACATCTGCCAGGTGTTTGCAGTAGGTCCATTAATCCAAATGGCATCATGGATGAAGAATCCAAAGCTTAGGAGAGTTAGCAACTTGCCCAAGATCACACAGCTAGGCTGTCACAGAGGTAAACCTGGATCCCAAGTCAGTGTGACACTCAGGACAGCCTACCTGGACCATGGCCCCCACGATTTTCCGGGCTTCCTGGTAGAGCTTCTCTCCATTCCACCTGGGATTGAGGCTCTTGAGCTGTGTGGCCAGCCGGTTATGCTCTCGAACAAAGAGGGTGTGCATGGAGGTGAGTTCAGGCATCTCACTTGAACGGGTGTCCCCTTAAGGAGGCAAAAGCCACTGTCATTCCTGAGACCTTCATCCCAGAAAAGATTTGCTCCACTGAAACTCCCTGTCTCCTGCCTACCCTCCTCTCCACCCATCTCTTCCCCCGGAGGCTGAGTTTATACTTCTATATGGGTCCTCCTCTGATGCCCTTGTTCACCATAATAGCTTTTTCTCCTGTTAGGGACATGGCTAGCCAGAGATGCTTAGTAAGACCTCGGATCCAACACGTGACTACCCTAGCTGAAACTGGGAGCTCTTCCAAGACTGGGCCCAAGGCTTGTGCCTTTTTGCATCTCATCCTCCCTCCCATCAACCCCTGGCATAAGAGGTGTTCTGGGGTGTAGCACCGTGCCTGGTACCAAGTGTAAGATCCATGATGCTTCCTAGTTAGCTGGTTCTCCTGATTCAAGGAAAGTCAAAAAGTAACGTGCATATTGGCACAAACTGTTTCCATGCTTGTGTCAGACACCACTAACAATTACAGCACTCTTGCTAACATTGAATGCAAGCAACCTCAGAAGCCTCCTGAACACAGAACCCCAGAGGAACACTACCATTGGAACAGAGTTGACAGCATCACCCCGTGACATGCCAATTTTGCAGCCTGCTTCAGGGTGGGCTAGGGCACGGGATGAGCGGAGTGTAGACTGGTGTAGCCTGGGATTCTGTTCAAGAAAACTAAGCAAGACCCCCTGGTTCCACTAGTCTGCCCCAAAACTTTCTCTGGAAGGGCTAAGGTCAGGGCCATTTCAGCAGGACACAGGCTTCTGCCCTGGCCAACTCTAGAAAGGAAATTCTAGGAGGAAAGAATATTCTCTGAGAGTGATTTCTCCATCCCATGAGCAGTGAGAGGTCATGGTGATCCAGGACTGGGACATACAGCTTGTCATTCCTGAGGATCATTGCTCTTGCTTCAGTAGCAAGAAGGGTGGCCCCTTCCTCAGGAGAAAGATCACTTGGGCACTGACCTTGATTCTTCTTCCAGGAGCCCAGGAAGAGATCACCAGGAGCCACCAGGAGAAGGGGGAAGCAACTGGAGGAAAGGGCCTTCAACCCACCATTGGATTTTCATTAAAACACACTGGATGGGGCTGGGGTTGTGGCTCAGTGGTAGAGTGCTCACCTAGCATGTGCAAGGTGCTGGGTTCCATCCTCAACACCACATAAAAATAAACAAATAAATAAAGGTATTGTATCCAACTCCAACTAATATATATATTTTTTAAAAAAACACACTGGAAAATTTCTTCCATCACTGTCTCAACCCTACCTACAAACCCTCAGGTGTTTAAAGTTGAAATCCCACCCTCTATAATTATGGGTAATCAAGGTGGGCAGTAGCACTTTCAACTAGAACTTTCTGAGATGATGAAAAACATCTACCTCTGTGCTGCCCAGTTAGGGGAGCCACTAGCCCATGAGGCTACTGAGTACTTGATATGTGGCTAGTGCAGCCGAGAAGCTTTTTTTTTTTTTTTAATTTCATTGAATTTAAAATAATTAAAATTAAAATAGCCACCTGTGGCTATCGGCTTCATATTGGACAGGATATGGACACCACTGTGCTCTCTGTCCTTAAGGGAATCAACTCTCCTCTCTTCCAGAGTCCAGAGGAGAAAAGAGAAACAGAGAAAGTGATAGAGGCTCCTTGGACATCCCTGTGTCTCCATCTAACTTGTGACCAAGGCTGCTGGACTAATGACTCCGAAGTTGGTGAAGACAGTGTCTCCCACTACAGATCCACCCGCTGCTCACAAGCAGGCTGACTATAGCTCCTGCAGGGAACACCTCTTATGCCACCCCAGAGCTGACCTGCCAGGAAGCAAGGGATTTGCACAGAGCGGTTGGTGAGGAGACAGGGGTCATCATGCAAGTTGTCGAAGGGCAGCAGGGCCCTGCCATTATCTTGGAAGCGGGTGTTGACGGCCAGCAGCCCCATCTGGTTGGTCAGGTTGCGCAGCTTCATGGCCAAGGGGTCCTCGCTGCCGTACACCATGCTGGCGTCCACAAAGGAGGTGAGCGCATTGATCTGGTTGCGGATGGTGATGTTGCTCCCAGGACAAGCCGGGCAGGAGCGGAAGAAAGGGATGCAGTCACGTTGGTTCTTGATGCGGGGGTCATTAGGTGGAATCTGCAGCACAGAAAGGCTAGGTGGGTTCATGAGGGACCGTGCAAGAGAAACTAACCTTTGGACCTCTGGCCCCCTGAATCTTCAGGTGGGTCTCTCAAGGCCCCAGCGGGATCAGTCTGAGGTTCCACCAGCAGAGTGCCTCTGAGGTTCAGGAGTGGCCCGGAACACTGAACTGGGAATGTGGGACACCCCCCAGGGGTAGGCAGTGCCAGTCCTCTGACCCCTTCTCACTAAATCTCCCCTCTCTCTCCTCCCCTCCTCTTCTCTGGACTTGGTCCCTTCACTCTTACTCGGTCTCCTCTTTCTTTCCTTTCCCCTTTTCCTTGTCCCTTTCCTGTCATTCTGGCCCCATCCCTCTCCCTCCTTCCCTCTCAGACTCTCTTCTTTCTCTCCTCTTCCCTCCCTATTCAGCCTGTGACTCCATGGGACTTCTCTGGGAGCTCCCCCCCCCCCCCCCCCCAGCTCTCTGCTCTCTGTGATGTGGGGATGGGGAATGGCCCAGGAGGAGGGGGAAAAAACAAGACTGTGCACAGGGCATCTATGCTGGGAGGTCTGAGAGACACCAGAGGTCCTCATCCCAGAACTCTTTTGCAGCCTCACAAATGGGCAGTAATTTCTGTTAGCTAGGGCAGAACCACTGCTCTCTCCCTTGGCCTGGGGGGAGTCAGTAAACAAAGGAGATGCCCTGGCTGACAGTTGGTCCTGAGGAGGGGACTGGTCAGAGCCAGGACAGGCACAGGCTCTGGACGACACAAGGAAGCAGCCCTTGCCCTCCTCAGGGGCTGAGAAAAGAAAGTTGGACACAGAAGGTGGCCGCTTCCAGGAGCAATGTCCCCTCTCCACCCACAGCCCAACAGTGGGTGGGAGGAAGCAGCACCTTGAGCGGGAAGCAGGGTGGCTGCTGCAGGCAGCTGGTCTCACAATTGAGGCCAGTAATGAAGGAGGCCCGTGCTGCAGGCTCTGGGGTGAAGTCAAGGTCGTGGTCCAGAAACTGGCCCCACTGCATGAACATGAGCGACCGCTGCTGGTCCCTGGTCAGCTGCTCTGTGGGGAAGCGCACGATGGCGTTGGAGACTGCGCGAGCCTGCAGGACACCGGGGCGTTAGGGGGCGCCGCACCAGGCTGGGCCTCCCCCTCTGCCCACCAGGTGCTCACCAGGGGCACGGGGAAGCCACCGCGCTTGACCCCTGGAGTCCAGCCGAAAGGCAGCGAAAAGCCGTCCTCGTACTCCGCTGGCAGCCAGCGTGCAAAGGCGCGGTTGGAGGCCCCAAGCGTCGGGCTGCGTCTGCAGAAAAGCGCAGGGTCGCTAAAGCCAAGTGGCTCCGCTGGCCTGACCCAACCCTCCCCGAGTCCCGCCCTGGGGCTGCACCTGTTGTTGCACTGCCCGGTGATGGTGCGATATGTGTCCTGTTCAGGGCATGTCACCCTCACGTCCTGGTAAGCACAGCCGCTTGACTTGGACAGCAGATTCAGTTGAGCAGGTGTCAGCACATCTGCAAGGGAGAAGCAGGATGTGGGAACCAAGCCCTCATTTCCTCTTCTGAGGCGGAGGAGCCCTGAATACCCTAGTGGGGCACAGGCTGAGAAGTGAAGGGGATGCTCAGACACCTCTGAGACTCCTTAGAGGGAGGATTTGTGGGGATCACAGGACCTGGCGAGGGTTACTAGGAGAGATCCTAGTGGAGGTGGGAGAGGGGGCAGTACCTGTGACATTGAAAGGCCCTGGACACAGGGGCTGAAGCTTCCTCTTCAGCAGGTCTAGAGCCACATGCAGGTAGTCTGCAGCCCTCACAGCCGTCCTGGTGCCTGCTACTGGCTGCTTGAAGTAGGATAAGAGTTCCATGGGACTGGCAGAGCCACTGCGAAGCCTCTGCTTGATGCTGCATGGAAAAGGGGGGACCAAAGAAGGGGTACAGAGACACTCAGCAGAGCCCTTTCCCGGGGGTGGATAGGCAGGACAATGTAGATAGACTTGCAGGCAGGAAGAGGTTTCTTTTGATAAAAATGATATGGATGTGGGTGTCCAGATGGTAACAAGTCCATGGGAAGGGTGGCTTTCAAGATGTTCTTGCTCCCAGAGACCCTGGGACAGACAGCCCAGCTCCGCCGCCCCCCCCATGCTCCCCACCTCCCTGCACAAACTCCCTGCTGCCCACTCCTTCCCTGAAAGGCCTGGGACAACTTTGCTCAGAGCTGAGCAGTGCTGCACATCCCACCTTTCCCGCCGCTCCTTGTAGGCTTTGTCCACAAGCCGCTTGGCCTCTTCCATGCAGGTCAGCACCACTGAGGTCTCCACCTCTCCCAGGAGGACTGACCAGAGCAAGGATCACAAAGTCAGGAATGGAGGCCCCATCAGGCCTCAGAACCTAGGAGGCATGTGCTGAGAACAAGGAGTCCCTGGGACTCACCCCTGGAACACCTTACCCTTCTTTTTGAACTGTTACCTGAAGTGGCATTGTCAGAGGCTTGGGACATGGGCAGAATGGCCAGGAGCCCTGCTAGAGTCAGGAGCAGCTTCATCTCTGCAATGAGACCCCCAACCAATAAGAGCCCCACCTCCACTCCCAGGCCCCTCATCCCACCTTCACCCTCCAGCCCCATCTCAAAGGGCCTGGTATGGGCAAAGCCAGGCCTCCTTGAGAGAGGGTCCACAGCACCTTCACCCCCTTGCCAGCTGTAGTCACCAGCCCCCAAGGACCTCAACTCCACAGTTGATCTGACATTGGTAACTCCTCTCACTGAATCTTGGCCTTTATGTTCTCTAAGGTGGAGGCGGGGCAGGGCAGAGGGAGGTCTATCCCAAGAGACTGAACTCTCTCCTCCCTCAGAAGCCCTTGAAATGGGGGAGAAGGACAAAAGAAGGGACCAGAGTTGCCCCCAGATTTTTTTTCCCCTATAGTGTTGGGAGTGAGAGCCTCGTACATGTTAGGTAAGCACTCTATCACTCAGCTGTACCCCCAGCCCACTTTTATTTTATTTTTTATTTTAAGATAGACTCTTGGGCTGGGGTTGTGGCTCAGTGGTAGAGTGCTTGCCTAGCACATGTGAGTTTGATTCTCAGCACCGCATATAAATAAATAAATTAAGGGCTGGTGTGTGGCTCAGTGGCAGAGTGCTTGCCTAGCACGTGTGAGGCACTGGTTTGAACCTCAGCACCCCATATAAATAATAAATAAAAAATAAAGTACATCAACAACTAAAAATTATTTTGAAAAAATAATTAATTAATTAATTAAAGATCAATCAACAACTATATATATATATAGAAGTATGTGTATATATATATATATATATATATATATATATATATATATATATATATTTTTTTTTTTTTTTTTTTAAATAATAGTTTTTAAAAAGATAGGCTCTTGCTAAGTTTCCCAGGCTGGCTTTGAACTTGTGATTCTTCTTCCTAGCAGAAGACTACAGGTGTAGGCCATGTCGTTGGACTGTCCCAGTTCTTGAACTTACCACCCTCATCCCAGGGTTTCTCAGCTCCCTAACTGTATGCCTATACCACAGCTGTCCCAGAGAGAAACTAATGGCTAAATCCTCCAAAATTCTGGCTAAGCAGTATCCAGGATTCCTTTGAAAGAAACAAAATTCAGGAACAACAGCCTAAGGGATTATAGAGGATGCAGTGACCCCCAAGGGAGGGTGAAGGGGAAACCTGGAGTGATGCTGACCAAGTCAGCCTCCGGGGGCCACTCCCATCCCAACAGTCACCTGGCCTTGTGGGCAGCCTAGGAGGCAGCCCCCAGTTCTTGGTGGGGCCAAGGGGACAGGAAGTCTGGCTAGAGACCGTTGGGTTTCACCAGAAGGACTCTGGGAGCTACAGGCTCAGACAAGTTAACTTCCTCTATCCCTCTTCCCTCTGCTTTCTTTTTGGCTTATGGTGAGGGGCTGTCTCCAACACCCTGGCCATCTGCTCCTGGATTTCAAGAACCAGGAAAGAACAAGCTAATTGTGGTTAGTGGGTCAGTTGGATGACACGGCCAGAGCCTCTCTGGGACAAGATCAGTGTAGTTGGGAGGAACTGGGTTAATGATTCAAGATTCTTCTGAAATAGAAGAGGAGGGAGTTTCTCCCTTGAGAAAAACTGGCAGAGGGGCTGCCATTCTCAGGGATAAGAGCACCTGTAACTTCTATCTGTGTTTGTCCACCCTCTGAGCCTTCCTCTGGCTGAGCTCCTGCCAACAACCATGGCCCCCAGGTCCTGTTTTGGTCTGTCCACGCCTCCTACCTTCAGCCACCTTCCTGCTGCTTTTTCTTTTCTTCTAGGACCAGACAACATCTTGAGCAAGGAACAAGGGACAACAACAAACCCAGAACATCTTCCCAAAGTGCCCAGGGATTCGGTCACCTGCCCAGAAACTGAGCCCAAGGCTTATGAGAGAGGAGACCAATTTTCCAGTCTTGCTTTGCCAGTGATTTTTTTTTTTTTTTTTTTGTATGTAACTTGGTCAAGTGGCTCTGTGTGAATCAGGTTCTAGAATTCTAATAGACTTTGGAAATACTTTTTCTTTGCCTACAAATAATATTTTTTTTCTTTTTGGCCAAGGATTGAATCCAGGGACGCTTACTCACTGAACCACATCTTCAGCCCTTTATCACATTTTATTTAAAGACAGGGTCTCACTAAGTTGCTGAGTTGCTTAGGGCCTTGATAAATTGCTGAGCCTGGCTTGCTAAATTGCTGAACTCAAGATCCTCCTGTCTCAGCCTCCAGAGCTGCTAAAATTATAGGTGTGGGGCACCATGCCTGGCTAGAAGTAATATATTTTCATGGATGAGAAGTTAGAGAATACAAATCAATAAAAAGTAAAAGTAAATTAAGTTTATAACCACCCACGTTAGAGTGTGGGCCATTTTCTTTCAAAGTTTGTTGTTGTTTTTCATATAAATAAACCATAGAAATTTCCCATAATCCCACCAGTCACCAATACTCAGTAATTCAATATATCATGTTTAGATGTATTTTTAAACAGTGATAAGAACAACTTTAACTATTATTTTGCAACCTACTTTTAGTACTTAACAGTTTTAGCCTGAACACCTACATCAATAAACAGGTTTATAGATGGGTGTGGTGGCCCACACCTGTAATCCCAGTGACTAGGGAGACTGAGACAAGAGGGTCACAAGTTCGAGGCCAGCCTGAACAACTTACTGAGACTCTGTAAAAAATAAAAAGGTCTACTCGGTGGTAGAACACCCCTCAGTTCAATCCCTAGTACTTATTAAAAAGTTGCAGGTGTACTTCATTTTTATGTCTGCATATATTTGTGGAAGGGACTTTTTCCCTGTATTTTTATTAGTGCCTTATAATTACAATAATGATGGAATTCATGATTATATATTCATATATGCACACAACAAAATAATAGAATTTGGTCAATATCATTCCCAGGGTTTACATATTTTATATGCTTTATTGGTTAAACCTACCTTGCACGAGCCAAGTACTGTGTTGGGCAGTGGGCATATTCCACCGAGCAAAGCATGAGCCTGTCCTCAAGGAACTCACAGTGGCAAACAAATGGCACAGCATGAGCTTGTGCACGGTACTTAGGAAATGTCAAGGCACCTAGATCAGCCAGCATGGTAGCCTGTAATCCTAACTACTCAGGAGGCTATGACAGAAGGATCATAAGCTCAAGGCCAGCCTGGGTAACTTAATGAGACCCTGTCTCAAAATTAAATATATGTATATATACACGAGCACTCACGCACACACACAGGGCTGGGGATGTAGCTCAGTGTTAGAGCACCCCTGGATTCAATTCCCAACACCACAACAAACAAAAAACAATAACAAAATTCACTTTGATCAACTCTTCCTCGAAGAGTTGCTTCTTAAGACTGTTTCCAAGTTGACCAAGTAGACCCAGGTTGAAAGGGCATTCTGGGTCCAGAGAATGATACAGCAAAGGCCTTGACACAATAAAGCTTCATTCAGACTGTTCTACTGCAAGTTCAAAGAACAGGCAGGAGGAGGCTGGGGAGGCAGACAGGGGCTTGGGACCCAACACACTTGACAACCTGCTGAGAAGTTCATATCCTGCGGGAGCCACAAAGGCAGGGGCTGGAGATGCTCTGAGACTTAAAATTGTTTCCAAACAGTTAAAAATAACCCAACTGTGGTCCCTGCAAGGCCAGCATCTTCCCTTGCCGGTACCTCTGTTGATCCCTCACCAGGGGCCTATTTGGCCCAGGTATGTTTGACACTCAAAGATTTCTCAGCATGAAGAGTAACCAGGAGGGGCTGGGGTTGTGGCTCAGTGGTAGAGTACTTGCCTAGCATGTATGAGGCACTGGGTTCAAGCCTCAGCACCACATAATAAATAGAAAAAGGGGCTGGGGATATAGCTCAGTTGGCAAAGTGCTTGCCTCGCATACATAAGGCCCTGGGTTCAATCCCCAGCACCACAGTCAATCAATCAAATAAAATAAAGGTATGATGTCCATCTACAACTAAAAAAAAAAAAAAAAAAAGAGTAACCAAGAAATATTGCTCCCTGGGAAGAGGTCTCAAGCAAGCCTTGTGCCATCAGTCACACTCCAGCTCTCCACCTTGAGGGGTGGCCTCTGGAGAGCACTGCTGGAACCGCCACATGTTATGACTTGAGTCATTGGAAGGAGCACACTCTGTCTTCCCTGCTCCCCACGCAGCTTTCTCAAACACCCCCATCCCCCCACCCAGGGGTTAGCCCAACGGCCAGTGGGATAACAGCCCTCAAGGCTACTGCTTGCAAAAACAGCTTGTTCTTTCTTAATGCTGTTTAAGAAAGAAAGTCAGTTGAGATTATGCCAGATTTCCTGTGTGTATGTGTGTGTGTTAGAGAGAGAGAGAGGGAGGGAGAGGAAGAGAGTGAGAGAGACATGCATGTGGTTGGAGAGAAGGAGGTATCTCCAGAAGGCTGTGGAAGCTGAGGATGAGACAGAACAGTGGCTATTTAGACACCCCAATTGCTGGTCTCTCTTTAAAATCTTTTTAAAATTAATTTTGAGTTCTACACACGATGAATATTGAACAAAATGTAAAATTAAAGATCCGATTAAAGCTCCCTTTAAATTAGGTTATTACATCATCCCCAATTCCACTCCCCTCCCCCCCCTGTAGACATAAACACTATTGTCATTTTGGGGTTTGTCCTTCCACACTTTTTGCTTTCTATTCATTCATGTGTCTGGACATGTGGGAAATATTCTGCTGCCTTTAGTTTTTCATAAATAGTATCACCTTGTATGTATTGTTCTGCTACGTGCTTCTTTCACTCAACAATACATCTTGCAAGAGCTGGGGATGTGGCTCAGAGGTAGAGCGCTCGCCTAGCACCCGTGAGGCACTGGGTTCGGTCCTCAGCACTACATAGAAATAAAATAAAAATATCGTGTCCACCTAGAGTTCAAAAATAATTTAAAAAATGGGCTGGGGATGTAGCAGTAGCAGTAGCAGTAGCAGTAGCAGTAGCACGCTCGCCTGGCATGCGCTGGGTGCTGGGTTCGATCCTCAGCACCACATAAAAATAAAATAAAGATGTTGTGTCCACCAAAAACTAAAAAAGAAATATTAAAAAATTCTCTATCTCTCTCTTTCTCTCTCTCTCTTTAAAAATAATTAATTAATTAATTAATTTAAAAAAATACATCTTGCAGATGTTTGGTGAACTACTTAAAAAACAATCTCACTTTTTAACAATTATAT